TCTGTGTCTGCACATTTGGTAGTTTGCGCCCCCCCACCCAGCCACGCCCCCGCCTGTGTGCCCTCCCCGCAACTCCTCCTCCCCCGCTTCCCCCCACCTGTGTTCTCTCTCCCCCATCTCCCCTGACTGTGAACTCCTCTTGTCCAGCTGTGTTCCCTCCTCCCAGCCCATGTGCCCCTGCCCACTGTCCCATGATCCCACCCGCCCCTGGCTCGGCCTCTGCCCAGCAACCCCAACCTCCTGTCCCATTGAAACCCTGCTGGGACCCTGTTTCCTCTTCTCCCTCCCTCTACCCCGCCTCCCACCTGGATCCCCATCTCCTGTCTGGCTCTCTAAACAATCCTCCCTCCCCCTACTCTCTGGGCCCTGATCCCTCCTCCCCCCCCACACACACCTGAACAGGAACCCAGCCCCCTTGTGCTGTGCCTTACAACCTCACATCTGCCTGGGACCCAGGTGATTCTTCCTCTCCCTTTATCTGAGGAAGGGGAATTCTGGTGTTGCCAGTGCCGATGTCCCCAAGTCCCTTCCTGTCTGGGGCAGGAGACCTTTATTAAAATTGGAATTGTGATCCCATTTAAATAGGCTTTGTTTTAAATAATATACCTTTAAAATTGTTATGGCCTAAATTTATCATAACCTATTTAAATAGCTTATGAATTAAATTTAAAAATTAAATAGAACATGTCTTCTGTCAATTTTTAAAGAAATTCTACCAGTTCACTAGTGTAAGTACCCAGAACCACTATTTATATCAGCAGTAGCTTCTTCTGCAGGTGAAGAGAGAATGTTTTTATCATTTTGGTTTATTCAGCTGGTTCAATCCAATGATTAGTTCATTCACCATTGCAAAACCAAGAGTTGACGAAGCAGAAAAACTTGTTTTCCTCTTCTCTCAGTAAAAAACTGATTATGAGAGCCTTCTAACATCTTGAAGAACATGATGATTAGATTCGATCTGTTAAATTCACTATGGATATTTCCTTTGTTTAATAAATGAATTTTATTGCAAAATGTGTTTGGATACTTTTTTGTTATATGTCCTTCACATTGAAGGTAGTTTTATTTCATATAAAAATTAAATGCTGGTTTGTTTTTTTTTAAATAGAATTTCTGTCCAGACAGCCTATTAATTTCACTTTAAGTATGAACCTAAATGTATCTGAGTATCTTTATGCAACTTGTAGGAGAAAATATATCAGTGAGGTATACAGTTCTTCATTATTAAGCTGAACAGGTGTCCCCATTTTAATGTGAGTTGTTTGAAGTTATAAAGCTATAAGTCACCACCATAGATAGCTAGAGGTGCTATACATTTTCTAACAGTTATTACGGTTCAGTTTCTATAGTAAAAGACACTGTGCTACCCTTCTAAAACCGTATTTATCAGTTGTTTATGAAGAAGTAAGGAAAAATCCTTTGGTCTGAGATTTGACTTGAGATTTGACCTAATAAATTTTAGTCAAGGAGTATAAAAATAAATGAAATAGTGTATTGGCTCTTCTAAAATGAGTGTTGAAAAAACATAAACCATAAAGCCAAACTGTGAGGTAAGGAGTTACCTGCTTATTTTATTGCACTCATGAAATAGGTCCTAGGCTAGTGGGGTTTTGTTGTCTGGTGCTTGTCTTGTTCTGGACAGTTGAACTGGGGAGTTGAAACAAAAGTTCTCTTAATCCCTTTGAACTGTTTCTTTGTATAGTGAAGCTGATTCTTGTCCATGGACATCAAGAGTTGTACAGCTTATATGTTGGGTTGGAGTCTGAGTGATTATAAGGCTTCTAATAATAAAATCCCTTTGCAGAGTGAGGAGTGGGACTGGGACTCCAGTACTAGGTGATGTGAACAGCTGTACATGCTTTGGAAGTCTTTAACTGGCTTGCTGTGGATGAACCTGACCTCCCATTGTCCTCACGTGGGGCGCCCTGGTGCTCTCCTAGGAGATGAAAATGCCTGGGGGGGGGGGGTTGGGCTCCCCCTGAAGTGCGCGCCCCACCCACCAGGAAGCCATACAAGCTGCATTTGTGCACACACCCCCAGCAAGCTGTGCAAGCTGCATTTGCGGGCGGACCCTCTCCAGACAAAAAAAGGGGGAGGGCCAAAAAATTTTTTGCTTGGCTGGCAAAAAACCTAGAGCCAGCCCTGCTGAGGCGAGGTGGATGCAGGGGAACTCGGTGTTTCCTGTGAGAAGAACTGGGGGTCCTGGGGAGGGGAGGACCCTGAAGTGTGCAGTGGAGTAAACAACATCCCCCCCCCCCGCAAGGGGGCACAGAGAGACTGGAGTGGGTACTGCCAGAGGGCAGTGTCCTGAAGAGGACGCCATGGACAGGAGGAACATGGGGAGACACCACCTAGAGGGAGGCACCCAGTGAGGCCAGCGAGCTAATTCCCACGACTGCCACCTGGAGGTGCCAGGGTGGTGAGTCAGCCCTGTGACAGAAGCCTTAAATGCGTTTCAGCCTCCAGTCAGTGTAAACGTGCTATTTCGATAGAGATCTGCACCATTTTGATGGGCATTTGTTGTGTGGACGCGCAGTTTTGAAGTAGCTATTTTGGGAGTTATTCCAAAACAGCTTATTTCAAAATAAGTGCATAGGGTAGACATACCCTGTGTATTGTTATAGTCCTGTGTGGAATGGATCATATAAAACTATATGTTAAAAGAATATTATTAAGGTTCCAAAGTCAAGCACTAGAAGTTAGGGAATGCAAGAATTAATGGGGCTTGTGCAACATTAATTGAGCCCTTACATGAATATGCATTATGATAAAGTATTTAATCACATGCTCACATACTAGTTTTTTCAACAGGACCCCTGCCTCATTCAATGCACAGGATAGAAAATGAGCATCTATTTAATATTTTATTCTCTCCTTGTGGTCGGCGAGTGACCTCAGGCCTTATTTGCTACATGCTATTCAAACTGTCTTCTCTAGACAAAATGATTAATTTCCTCCTGGGCTGTTCTGTGGCATTCATCACTGGTACTTGAGTGCTTCACAAATATTAACTGATTTATTTTCTCAGCCCTCTGAGGTAAAGGTGTGTGTACATTATATCCATTTTACAGATGCAAAAGAGGCACAGAGTGGTTGAGAAGAAAAGTACCTGCTAAATTTGAAGGCCCTCAGATGTAATACATTAAAGCACAGTTCCCATTTACTTCAGTTGAAATTATGAGTGATCAGCTCTTCTGGAAGTCAGAAAATATCCAGAAAATAAGAAACTCCTAATAGGTGGCTGCCTATGAAAAGTTCAGTTTAATTAACTTGCCCATATCACACACAGAAATGCTGTGGCAGAGTTAGGGATAGATTCCAATTCTGCACGGCAGCATTCAACTCTTAGTCATAAGATGGTTCCTTCTTTTCCCTCAGTCCCCTGTCTTATTTACCACACACCTTCTAACTTCTGCAACAAATGAGGCAGGAGTCTTGCAGACAACCATTTTCTTCACTCCACAATCATGTTTCATCCCCAGTTCAGGTCCACTTTATGGGCTGCAGGAGGCAGAGATCCTGTGGAAAAAATAGCAGAATAGCAAAATAGGTTTAAATAAAAAAGCAGGCCCACATGGGTCATCATCAAACCTTTAGATACACCGTATAGCCCTCTGCCACTTGAGTTAACAGAGTAACTAGCAGTCGGAGGTTGTCATCTTCTGTGTGGACCAGCATTTGCAGGGGATGAGACATATTTTGACAGTGAATTTCACCAACTTGTTAGCAGCAGAACCATGCTGAGACCTGGAAATCTTGAGTTTGATTCCAATCTTTGGAATGCCTCTAGTGGAGACATACTTGACTTCTCAATCTGTCACTGCCTTATGCCTCTATCTTCCCATCCCTAGCTCCTTACTCCACTCCCGCTCTCCTTGCTTACTCAGGCTTGCCCAGCCAATCCCAATCTACTTTTTTCCCCTCCACGTCCTGCTCTAGTTTGTTCCTTCTGCATCCCGATTGCATGGCTTTCTCCTTCTCACTGTCTGAGTGCCATTATAGAGGTCATTGTGAGCAAGAAGAGAGAGGCTCACTGCTCTCATTTCCAGGGCTTGGTCTCATGCTAGCCCAAAGCAGCAATTAAAGAAGAAGTCCAACTTCACTCTTGTAGTATTGAGCTGGGCGGAGCATATGCTCAGTTGCTTTGTAGGGAGGGCTCAAGTCTGGTCAATGCTAGCAGCAATGAAGGGTTGAAGCATGCTCAGTTGCTTTGTGAGGCTGATCAGCACTAGAGGTTGAACCTCTCTAGTCTTGCACTCTCAGGATCTGACTAGTGCCAAACTATGGGAGATCAATATGGTCTAGCAGCATTACAACACTTCCAACACTTACTGGGCTCTTGGAAGATATTTTAGGGGTAAATTAGAGCTAAATAACAGCACAGCATACTGGGAGACACTGCTGCTGACTGTAAATACACTATGGGACTGCAAGAATCTCAACCACACCTATGATAAATGGACATCCAACATACTAAAATCATGCCAGACCACAGATGTTGCTGGACCATAGCATGCCAGACTAAAAAGATTAAACCTATAGAAAATAAGAGAGGCTTGAACATACCCAGATAGACTCTTCAGAGATGTAAGCAATTAAAAATCAGGTGCTTATGTACCATGTGCAAATTATATGTTTTTCAGAGGCTTATAATTTGCCAAATTCGTGAACATGACAAATCCATACAGCTCCGATGCAGAGGTCCTTCTTCCAAATTTCACATACCTGCCCTAAAGCATGGAGGATCTAGAGCTGTTCATTGAAAGGGTTATCTCAGTGTTTTAATATGGGCAAAATTACATTTTTCCTAGCTTTATTCCTGAAAATAGCGGAACCATTTTGGCTGATTTTTGCTCAGAAAATTTTGGCCTAAAGCAAATGCCCAGCATGCAGAATTTCAGTCCAAACAGTCAGTCTGGTGAAGTTATAAGCAACTGTAAAAAGATTCTTATTGTGTGAAGTGTCAGACAACCTAAATAATAGGTGGCACAATGACTTTCTCTTTGGAGTTCAAAGGAATGGTATGATGTGCTGTGCTAAAGGAATAGTTCATAGGTGAGTGCATTGCTTTAACGCTTGTCAAATGTTACAAAATTGTGAAGATATTGAAGCTGAACTGAAACACTCATACTCTGTTGCTCAACTTTACTGAGACTAGCCTCTAGAGCTGCTGCTTAATGTTAAAACTGTTAAAAGATGCACTTCTACATGATTTAAAATCTTCACTCCCAATTATGAGTAGTTTTCACAATCTTTCACTTTTTATGGATTTATTGACAGTTTCTGTTCCTTTTTATCCTGACAGGGTAACATACTTGACAGCAACTACTGTAACATTTCATTTTTTATTTGCTCAATAGCCATTCTTAAGTGTAGTAGAGTACAAGACAATTATGGAAAAAGTAAATAACTTCCAACTCTGTGTACCTTTTCCGTTGATGACTCTGCTTGTAAACTGACTTTTGAAAGGAACAATGCCAGATGTGATTTAAAAAACATGTAAGGCACGAGTAAGGGAGGTGAATATGACACATCAACATAGGAATGAGACTGTGCATGATGGAAGTTCATCTGCCTTGCTTTCCCTAGGAAGCTGAACTGAAATTAAAAGAGCAAATAAATCACTGTTTTTAATAAGAAAACTGAGGTTTCAGCCTGTCTTGATTTTTCACTGCATTTGTTGTTAGTATTACATCTAATATTACCCAGAAATAAATATCACATTTTGTGACAAGTTACATAATGCAGGGCTTTTGACAGAGAAAACCTCTGCAACACAACTCGTCCCTGGCTGGGTCTCAAGCAAGAGTAGTTGACATGAAAATGAATTTAATAGGTTCATGGACATTCCCAGAACTGGTTACTTTGCAAAATGCTTCTAGTTAATACCTGTTACGGAATGAAATTTTTTTGTTCCATTCCTCTACAGAAAATAATCTTACATATTAACTTCCTAACAACACAACCACCACACTAGGAACTGACCCCAGCTATATTCTGGCATGGTGCAAAAGAGTACACACTAGAGGTAGCCAGTCATCTCCTGTCCCTGTGGCTGTTTAGAGCAGGACAAACTGGTTTGGTGTTAATGCAACCTTATGTAATTCACTGTATTCTTGTCTTTGTAGCTGAAGAAGTGTTCTGGTGTAGCTGTCATCTTCATTGGGCCATTTAGAAATATTGCTGATTCACTGCATGAATGTAACAAGTTTATCAATGTACCTCCAAACCACCACTGTACAAAATATCACTTGAATTCATCCTAGTTGTAATTGATCCCATGAGACTTTGGGTGAAATCTTGGCCCTACTGAAGTCAATTGAAGTTTTACCATTGAGTTCAACAGGGCCAGGATGTCACTCACTGTCTTCAGTTCTCTCAAAGAAAACTGGTTGGCAGGCCCTGGTTTGCACTTGAGCTGTGCAGAAGGAATTTACTGAGTGATGGTTATGTCTGGACCATCCCACAGGCCTCTCATCACCAAACACTACTTTGGGAGTCTGAGAGACTGTTATTCTCTGTTTTATTTAAAGCTTATTTAATCAGTTGGACCTGACCTGTGAAGGCCATGGGACAACTCTCTCTAGCAATCCTCTGTCACGAAACTGCACTTATTTCATTGCATGACTGCATGTTTTTGAACACCATGGCTTCTTGCCTCTACAGGGAACACTTTAATCCAAGGACAGAGACCGTGTGCTGCCCACAAGTCCTTACTCAGAACTAGTTTTTCTATACTTTAAATGAACCATTATTTGGAAGTCCTAGAACAGTACCAGGCTAGGACTTGACAGTGGTCTGCTCCTCTTGTAATATGTAGTAATAGGCTGATAGCAGGATTTCCTGGGAGGTGATGGGGGAGGATGGCCATTATGATTAGGCTCTAGCTTCTTTCTAGAATAGCTGAAGAAGCTGAGGTCAAATGATGAAAAATAATGACTCCTCTTTATTTAGGATTTGGCAGAAATAAACCTGGTACTAAATAGCAAGCTCACTACAGACTACTTAAAATGGATTCTGATTTTCTGAGTCCTAAGTGGAATGACCCAGCAGGAAATGGAGGAAAATGTTTCCGTTTTGTAACAAACCTCCCCAGTGCTCCATTATTTTTCAAATTGTTCCTAAAAATCCCTCCTCCTTCCCACAGCCTATTAGAGGAGGACCAGTACTTGCCCCTTTCTTTGTGAGGATGCTGTGCTACCTAGGTGTAAAAATCTTATTTAAAGGCACTGAAGATACTTGCATGGTCTATGGACTGATTTCCTCCTCTCTATTTAAAATGATCTCTATCTCTATTCCCTTTGGTGTTTGAAGATATTTTTTAAAGGTTTCTGATAGGCAACCAATGGAAACCTGAGCAATGATCAAGGCCATCCACTAAAGTGGTTGCTGTAACCATTAAACAGTAATGGAATTACTTAGCAGATGCAGAATGGGAGAGAAGGGAAGAGAAAGAAAGAGATGGCAGTGAGAAAAATGGACGTTATGAGACTCAGAAATGAAGAGAGACAAAGCACAGACACAAATGGAATCCCTGATCAAAGGTAAAAAATGGACAAAGTAAAAAACTTCTCTGCAGATCAATGTTCCGGCAAAAAGAGAAAGCTATTACAAACGGAAAAAACAGAAACAGAGAATGGGAGCATGAAGATCTCAGAGCTATCTTAATCTGTGGCTAAATTCCCATTGACTAAGCACATCTGTTTTTGTTTTCACATAACTGTTAAAAAAGCCCAAACACTGACAAGATGGTCAATGCTTTTTAGCTATCAGAGATACCATGAAAATTCTGAGAGAACTGATTTGGCTCTGGTATTCTTGAAGGGCTGCCAGTATTTAAAAATACCTCTCTATATTAAAAGCCACATACTGCCTCCTAGCCTAAAATATCCAGCTTGTGTTTACATTACCACTTTCTGGAATGCAGAAATGTTGTGTATGTGAATGATGAGCCTGGCATGTGCACAGGAATGGAGAATGTTTGAAGATTACCATGTGCTTGTACCCACAGTGTCTATCCTGGGCTGGAACTGTGGTTGCAGTTATAAGATGGTTCAGGGTAAGTCAGGCTGTGTCTAGACTACTTCCCTTTTCTCGAAAAAGGGATGTAAATTAGACTCTTCGAAATTGCAAATGAAGCCGGGATTTAAATTTCCCACCCTTCATTTGCATAATGGCAGCCGCAGTATTTTTCAGAATGGCGCTTTTCAATAGAAAAACGGCAGTTTAGATGGGGACCTTTTGAAAATAAAACCCTTTTTTGAAATACCCTGTAAACCTCAGTTTAGACGGGGATCTTTTGAAAATAAAACCCTTTTTCGAAAGACCCTGTACTCCTCAAAAATGAGGTTTGAAGGGTCTTTCGAAAAAAGGTTTTATTTTTGAAAGATCTCCATCTAAACTGCCGTTTTTCTATTGAAAAGCGCCATTCTGAAAAATACTGCGGCTGCCATTATGCAAATGAAGGGTGGGAAATTTAAATCCCGGCTTCATTTGCAAGTTCGAAGTGTCTAATTTAT